AGGTTCACCTGTCCCGGGTGCTGGTGGGGCTTCCCAGGCAGGACGTGCCCAAGAGCCTTGCCAAAGTGGCTGCTTTGGTGTGGCCGAGGGTCTTGGGCTGGTCCTGGCTGGGAAGCCCCACCGACCACAGGGACAGATCCTAGAAGTGATGTCCTCATAGTTCAGTGTTCCTAAAACTTGGGAGCTCAAAGATGTGTGGACTTCAAGTCCCAGAATTCACCAGCTTCTAGGAAAACAAGAGAAACCTGGCTGGGTGGCCAAGATGACCCAGCTGTCCTCCATTTCTACCTTTGCCAGTTTGTCAACAGCTGCCCTTCTCTCTCCTGCCACCCAGGATTGGCACTGAGTGAAACACCTCCTTCCTGCCATTCAGAGGCCAGGAGTGACATTACTCTCAGAGTTGTCTTTGTCCTGAGTCATTTCAGTGACACCGTTGTGATTTTGCATTTATATTTTGCTTCTCCCTTTTCTCAAGATCCAGCTCCAGGTGAAGGCGGCCCAGGTATGTTTGTCTCAAGAGTGCTTGGCGCAAAGTACCCTCCTCAGTTCTTCAGTGGGCTTTCCATCTCTTCCATCTGCAACTGCAATTGCTCTGATAACAACTGGAATCTACTGACCTCTTGATCTTCTCCTGCCTGTCTCCTCTCCAAGATAACCTCCTGTCCTGCAAGTAATATTAACCTTACTAATTCAGAATCAACCTATTGGAAACGGTTAAGCAGCATGTCTTTGGTTCTAGACCTTCACAAACTACAAAGGTTTCTTCTTAGATATCATTTGCATGGTCTAAAGACAGGTGGCCTAGCATACACACACACACACATCCTTCTTATAATGAGAGCGCTGAGCAAATGATTCAGTCACACAATTTCACGAGCCATTTCATTTTATTTCACCTGGGAAAATATTCCAGCAAAGCTACTTATCTCATTGGGGTTTTACTTCAAGAGCTAATTAGAGCACCTGGCCCAAGGAGGAAAGTTCTCCTATCAACAAGACTTACTAAAATGTTTTTTCCTCCAACCGCCTGACCCCACCGCAGGTTTTGTCCTCTTTGTGGTGTTAGCCAGTGTCCTTGGCATCGTCTTTGTCACCATGGTAGCCTTCTGGCTGATTCGAAGGAAGAGGTAAGACTTCTGCTCCACTCCCCCTTTTGTGTGGGGTCCTGGCTCCCCTCTGTTAATCCCTTTCTGCCTCCTGAGCAGACCTGATCCCCCTGGGCCTTGAACTATCCAGAAGAAAAGTGTTCTTTCTGGAATCCTGGCCTTCCTACCCTTTCCTGGGTCTGAAAGCAACCTCACTACTTGCTGTTTGGACATCTGCTCCTGCCGATGCTGTTTCAGGCTCCAAAGGAGGCCGAGGACAGATGGAGGCATCTGGTCAGCCTTTGCATCAGGAATGGTATCATCCTCAGCTTAGATTAAGGGTATCCAAGCATGGCAACTAAGACTTGTGGACTTGAACTCCCAGATTTGAAGTCGAGGACCACAGGTTTTACAAGTTCAAAGGTTGAACAATCCTTAGATTGTTGTTCTTCCAAGCAGAAGTCGGGAGAAAGCATCAGGTGCCAGACTACCTGGCCAGAAGGGGCAATTCCCACCTCCAGAGAGAAACACCGAAGTCCACTCATCATGAGTTTTTCCAAGCAGGTCACCTGATCAAAAGGAACCCCAACTGTGGTGTGAATGATCCCTCTTGGCACATGTATTTGCACTCAAACGTAGAAAAGCCCTTTTGATTGCTTTCTTATTGTCTCCCCCTTCGGCCACTCCAGCTCAGGAAATAACAGCCCCCCCCCACTCCGGGACATAATTGTTGATACCCAGCTCCTCTCGCAACCTTGGCTAACTCCAGGCTTCTCTTTCGCAGCCTCCAAAGGGCCAAGGAAGAGAAAGGGGTAATCTACAAGCCCGCGGTCACCATGGAGGAGGAGGAGGAGATCTCCAAAGCTTAAACCTCTGCAGCGCTCAAGTTTTACATATCCTTAACAGCTGGATGAGCCAAGTGTTGCTCTCTCTCTCTCTCTCTCTCTCTCTCTGTTTATTGGCCAAGTTGGGTTTTTGGATCCCTTGAGTGCAAAGAGAAGACGGCTCTTCTCCCCTGTGTACAGGATTTTAATGGGCGGAGACAAAGCTCTCCCTCCAAAGAATCAAATAAATTCTAGGAGAGGTTCTGGCCTTTGCTTAAGATTATAGCATCTAAATGTGACATTTATGAATAATCATAATAATCTGCCTCAGAAAAGCTACTGTTTATCTACTGAATAGCTGAATTTCCTTCCTGCTCACATAAAATAATTACTGCTGATATAAGGAATAGATCACTAGGATACTTAAGTGTTCATGTTAACGTCTTAAAGCATGGATCTCCAAACTTGGCCACTTTAAGACTTGTGGGCTTCAACAGTCCCCAGCATGGCTGGCTGAGTTGAAGTCCTCAAATCTTAAAGTGGCCAAGTTTGCAAAGCCATCGTTCTGTTCTCTTTGAAGCCCTACTGATTTTAGCAGGAATTACTTGTCTTTTTAATCTCTTCTATTTAAGTCTAAAATAAGCTATATTAAACATGACTTCTAAGAAATGCATGGGGCTTATTATCCCATGATATAAAATTGTGGCTCTGTGCTGTACTTGGGTCCCTGGAACTGAAGACCAAGCAACTCAGGTTTTAAGAATTGTGCCAGCCTGAAGGCAGCTACTCCAAACAGAAAACAAGCAAAAGGAAGATCAAATGAAATACTCTAATACTATCTACTCTGAAATTAGGGGGAACTAATATTATTGGAGGGCTCCATACATTGTTTCTTTCCTACAGGGACTTATAAGGAATTTGCAGGTTTGAAGAATCTATTATGATGAAAGTGTCCTACACATAATGTGCAATTTTATGTATCATCGTACAATAAATATTTTTATTAAGATCTTTGAGTTTGTGTCTCTCTCACACATACAAATGTACTGAGAAACACCAAGTGAAATTCTATTCTTGGTTGAAGGCCAGACTATATTTACACTTTGCATTTTCTGAACTATCCATCAAGTTCTCCAGCACTCGTAAACCACAACAGAGACTTTTAACATCAGAATTGTTAGGTAAAGGTACCAAAATAGTCACCTAAGGGTTTCAGACCACATCTTGGATCTCAGTGGGAAAAGAGAGGTAAAGTTCTCCAACACAACTACACCCTTGGCTGCAGCCACCTCCAGAATAAGTACCTTCCAACTCTCTCCAGAATTACCCAAAATTCAGGGATCTGCATGAAATCAGGATACACGTTTCTCAAGGGGTGGGTAAAAGCCACTGCTCCCCTGGCTCATTTCAAAGCAAGTCGGTGCGTTTTACTTGGTAAGAGTGCCAAAGGAGCTGGGCTGCCCCACTGGACATTTTATATGAAGACAGCTCCTTTATTCCACAAGGTGGGACATTCAGCCGTGTAAGGTGAAGCACAAGCCTTTTCAAATCCAACCAGCAAAAAGGAAGCAAGGCAACTGCAGACTGAAGGATACGTAGGTCTCTAGGCCAGTATCTCTCCATCTTGGCAACTTTAAGATGGGTGGACTTCAACTCCCAGAATTCCCCAGCCACCTCTAGGGAATTGCTCAGCCTGTGGTCCACACGCCTTAAAGAAAAACTTTGGTCCAGACAAATACAGGCTTCACAGTCCTTTTCCCCCCAGCCAAGATTTAAAATGTGCATCTGCGTTTTTATAAGGATTTAACTAATGTAGAGCACAATAATATTAATAATGATTAGGAAGTCGTGTGGAAACTAACCACAATTCACATTTGGAGCAGGCAGAAAACCAAAGAAGTTGAAAGAAAAGGGAGGAAAGAGGAGCCAAGGGTGGTGAGCAGCCACTAGGAAGGAAGGACTCCCCTTTTGAGGAAATTCGTCCTTTTCAAAAGCCAAGCAAAACAAAAGCAAAGCTGATTTTGTGCAGAAATAACAATCAGTACATGTGATACACATCATTGACACACACTCCCGCAAGACAGTTTATCCCACCTACCTGCCAGTGCCAGCAGTGAAGACCCAGGGATCACGGCTTACAGAACGTTGAGCTCATCCATGGCTTACAAAGCCACAACAGTAAAGTCTCTTCATCATCCTAAACCACAAACTAACCGCATTATGATTTAAAGGGAGGGAACCTCACCATGACTTAGCAGAGTGCCTGGATTGTAGACTAGTCCCAAGTCAGCTGAATGGCCTGGATCAGTGCTCTGCTGCCCCCTGGTGGGCACCAGAGGATGGTCAGTCTGTCCATCCAGTAGCCTTGTAAACCTCCTGGGACTGCAAAGCCCCAAATTCCTCAGCCCCCCTCCCCCCCAACGTACACCCAGGACCCGCAGGAGGTCCCACACAAGGCAAAGCCCTGGAAGAATGCCACAGGCCACGTGGTGCTGTCCAGATGTTCTGGGCTTTGGTTTCAAAGAGCCTAATGTGGTGTTGGTCAAGAGAACGGACCAGGGCTGCAGAGAAGCCATTCTGGTCCATCCTCATCCATGGACCTTCATGGAGTGATTCTGGGGCGCCCTCATCCCAGCCTTTCTTCCCCTCTTCAAGGGAGATTTCAAGAAATAAAGGAGTTAGGCCTTTGGACACAATATGTTTCACATGGTGGAATAACTCTAGGTAAAAATTAAGTCTGTTTTGGGATCATACAAATTTAGAATATTGCATTAAATTTCATTTGCACATAAGATCACCTGTAAGGCCACAGGAATGCACTCACATTTTCCAGAAGCTATGCAACTTTCCTTCTAATTGTGATTTATTTCTAGAATGTAATTTATTTTGACTAAAAAAAATAATTAAGCGGTAATGTTAGAATACGGCAATACCAATGCAAAGATCTATTACAGTATAATTGACTTTACGACATTTCCCATTTCAGCGTTTCTCTAATTACCAAATCCTTTGTCCATTTTAATTGCAGTGAAAAGCCTTGCATACTGCTAACCAAATGAGTGAGAGACACATTGCAACATACCAAGGCGGCTACCCATCGTAATGGATTTTATTCTTTCACATCTGAAAATAAGACATGGTGAAAGCACTTGGTACATGTACATACCCCATTTATTAAAAAAAAGCTGGCAAGTATTATACAAGTACTATACAGAGGTTTCTTTTTCTGATCTCACATGCAGCACAGGAGCCTGAAGGTGGAACCGGGCAGGTAGTACTTAAAAACCCTTAAAATGGGGGAGAAGAAGGGGGCAATGAAAGGACAGGGGCAGGAAGCCAGGAACAGGGGGAGGGAAAGTCATATTTGGATCTTACGAGGAGCAAGGTCGAAGGGCCTCCCTCCCCTCGAAGACGGGCCAGAAGTCCAGACCCCGGCCCAACAGGCAGGGAGCCACTCCGGGGTGGGCTTCAGTGCTCAAAACTAAGGAGGTTTGACTTCTGAGGGCCCCTGCTTTGCAAGCGGCCTGCTCTGCTCAAGCGAAGGAGAGGAGACTGACCCCAACCCATTGTTGACCGCCGGGCCAGAGCCTTTGCAACCGGTCACTCTACTCCGTGGCCTTTTTCCAACTGGCCACCCATCAGATGTGCTTTGCTGCAGCCAACCTTGAGTGACGGGAAGAGCAGCCCAGCACATCTGGAGCACCCAGACTGGAGGACGAGAGGCAACAGGTCTCTCTCGACAAGCCTTCCCTACCGTGAACCCACGGGGAAGAAAATTCAGCAGGCGCCCTGGCCGTCCTGTGGCTGCAGAGGCCATCCTTGTTCCTGAAGACTAAGGCTGTTTTCAGGGGACGGCCTCTTAAAAAAAAAATCCAGCAGGGAAGAAATAATTCTGTCGTTAAACAACCGACAGGAACAAAACCTAAACTTTTAACATTATAAAGGTAAGTTAATCGTGTGTTAACTTTACAACACCAAGCTTAAAGTGGATTTCCTATGGTCTTACTCAAATTATGTACACTGTAGCACAGCTAGAAGTAAGAAAATAGCATTTTTTTAATAAAACAGAGTAGATACCCCAATATGCTGCTGCTTCAAAAAGCACTTTATAACGTTTCGACTAGTTGCAGGCTCTCCCGAGGGAACCTTCTCAGAGACAAAGCGTTGGTTGGCAGAACCCGAGATATGGAAGAAAAGGAGACCAAGAGAAAAGCCGAGGGAAGGAAAGACGCAACGGGCATGACTGTCTGGGTTTCACGACAGTGCCGAAGGGGTCTACAATCAGGAGGGACTTGGGGGGGGCATGCCCTGTGGGTGCCCTCCCTCAAAGAAAGCACTTTGCACCCCTTGGGTTGACGTGGAGATCAGGCCAACTCTGCCCATGTGCTGAATCACGCAAGGGCATTGCAGCCGTTGCTGAAGGGCCTGGCGGTGGAGCTGAAGATGGCACGACCTGCCAAGATGGCTCACCTGCACCAGGTGTCCCCGAATAAGACTCAGGAGTGAAATACTGTCAGGTGAAGAGAGTGGACTGGCGGGAAGGCGGCGCTTCCCAGGGGAGGCAGGCGGTGAGGCCAGGAGTCTCCCCGCGCAGAGTGTTGGTTTGGCACGTCAATAAAAGTAAAGCACCCGTGTGGAGGCGGCCGGTTGCCTGGAAAGGAAAGGGCAGCTCAGCTTCAGTGATGGCTGATTCACAGATGGGTGTCTTGGAGACCCAAGAAAAGTTCCTCAGTGAGTCCTCGCTTCCTTCTGACCGGGGCCCAGGTTGCTCTCCCCCCTTAATGAAGGGAGGAAACCCGGGTCCTGGGTTCAACCGGATGCCCCAAGAAACAGACCCCAAGCCTTAGCAGAGCCAGATTAAGGAACGAGGGGAATGTAGTGAAGGGCGAGGGGGACATTCAGGACCCAGAAAGGGGACATGCTGCCGTCAGACCAGCAAACTCAGCTTGACCTACACGGAGTTGTGTCTTTGTTAAACCATCCGAGCCCCAAAGGAGCTTTTAGGTGGTTTGGGTTTTCCACGCCGACGTTATGGTGGCATTGTTTATTGGCATCCCTGGAGGAAAAAGATCCAGAACATGCACCCGCCCTATGTGTGCCCCTGTTTCCCACCAGTAGCAGTTCCCCTTCCAAGGCCATGGAGCCCGGGGGTCTTCCAGCCAGCCTCCCTTCTGGACTGCAGGTTAACATCTGCACACAAAGGAGGGCAGGCGGGTGGGCTGCTGTCTCAGATAGCAGAGCCCCCCAGCCCAGCCCAGCCCAGCCCAGCCCAGCCCAGCCCTAGAGGCCCCAGCTGTCCCTTGACAAACAAAGAGGTTTGTGGTCACTGAAAAGGAAAAAAAGAAACGGACCAAGCCTGCCAGTACACCAACCCAGTACCCTGTGCCTCTAACGACCCGGTCCTAACTTTCAACCAAGGACTAACAGAGATGTGCAAAGGAAATACTCAGCAGTTTTTGAAGCAGGCAGTGAAAGAAAGAATGAAAGAAAAAGGAAAGAAAGAAAACAAGGAAGGAAGGAAGGAAACGGAGCTCCGGCAGGTGGGAGTCTCTCAACTTCACAGCTTCCATGTCTCGGAGTGGGGAGGCTGGCGATGGCGGCCAACGGAGAGGGAGTCCCATCCATTCTCTCGGTTTAGCCCGTTCTAGGTCCAAGCAGAGCCCTCAGCAGCAGCCGGGCGGTAACAGCTCTGAGGCTGGGGGAGCCTGTGCTTTCAGAGAAGCAGGAAAAGGTATTTTTTTTGTTCTAGGTATGCTGCAGTCTCTTATGAGAAGTTCATCAAAGCAGCGAGCATCGAAAGAAGCTGCTCTTCTTCGACCGGTTCTCTGTGATCTTCACGGGCCCGCTCGCACCTGCCGAAATGTTGTCGTTCTAGGGAGAGAGGCAAGAACAAAAACGAGGGCAGGGTTACCAACAGGGAAGGGGAGTGTCTGTTTTAGAGAGCACTGGGAATTCAAGAGATTATTTGTAGGTTTCTTTTTAAACTCTGCAGGGTGAGGGGTTTTTTTTTACTCTATAACTTTTCCCTTTTTCTTTTGAAACGGGGGTGAAGGATAAGTCAAATGAAATTGTGAAAAATGTCAGGGGTTCAGAAAGCGCTGAAGCAGACATTGGGCGGCATTGTGACGAAAACAGGCATGGAAAATGCTTATGTAAGTCTCAATCAGGCAGGAGGAAGTCCCACTTAATTATGCTTCCTGCACATGGATTCTGGACGTGGCCTTTGGGATTATCTGGCAGGAAAAAAAATTACACGCTTTAATTCAACAGAGCAAGCGAAAAAGTTTGTGTTTGTTCACCAGTCAGTCCAGGACATTTGGGAAAATCAAAAGGACACAATCCTTGGTTTGAAACGGAAGGAGGAAGGCAGAGCCCGGCAACCCTTTTTCAGGCTCGCACGGCCAGGCTTGTTGCTATTTGCCACGTTTCAAGAAGGGTCGCGCAGGAAATCTCATTGAGGGGCTGTGCAAGAGCTTCGACCTGATCCTCACCTTCAAAACCTAAACTACGTTCTGGGCAAACAGGAAGGAAAGCCAAGATTTTCCAGGCAGATTAGAAGAGCTAAATGGCCGCTAAGAGTCAAGCCAGGCCTCCTGTCAAAGCTCCTCCAAAGGCTTGCTGGCCTAGCCCCGAGTTCGGATTCCCCAGCTGGCAGTCCTTGGCTGCCTCCGGGGACTGTCTGACCTCCCTCAGATACACCTGCAAAGTGTTTCAATTATACCCATTGAATAAATAAAGCGGAGGCAGATGCTGAAAGGGGATGAGGTTAGACGGTGGGGATGATGGGTCGTTTGACAGCTGGGATATCACGTTTATAGTTTACAGATACGTAATAGAGGAAAATGGGGTTTCTTTACTGTAATGTAAATATATCATAGTGTCCGCTGATTTTATTGCTTTTGTGTAATTTTAACTCCCATTAGAATTTTATGTCGTTTGAAATACTTGTTTATTATGCTTTATTACTGTAATGTCATTTTGCGGTCTGACTTTTTATTGTCCTGATCGTTGATCAAACAAACCTTTGCCTTGCCAACTGTTGCTAGTTTTTGCTTGTTAATTTTGCTTGTGGCTGGACTGCACCCTGGGTGGGTGGGTGCTTTACACTCGGGTTCTCTTTTCTTACTAGGCAGCGGGAGGGGAGGGGCTCATTAAGGCTGTGATTGGCCCATTCAATTCAGTCCCTCCCCAGCACTGATGGGCAGAAGCTGCCCCTTTAGGGAAAATTTCGACTGGCTGTGAAGCCGCCTTTGAGCTGCTTAGACCAGCAAAGGGCAGAAACCACGCGAATCAGGATAGGTTAGTACCAAGAGAAACCAACCATTTTTTTGTTGAGCTTTGTCATAATGTCCCGTGCAAGGGTGAAGAAAGCCTGGAAGGAAGAGAAAAGATCTGATGAGATCTATGCAATCCAAATAATTTATTAAATTGTGTATTAAATTTAAACCAACAGGCTGCCCAACTCCAGTGGACTTCAGACAATTACTTCGGAGTGGAGAATGAAGTCCTTTAGGGGAAGGCAACTATTATGCTTCAGGTGCCTTTCTCAAATTTTGAGCTATGAATTCCAATCCAGAATCCAATCCTCTTTCTCGCCAAATACCCATGCTGGCACCCCACCCTTCCCAGATAGGGGTGGCAAAGATTTACACATGGAGGGGGTTGCTAAGGAGGACTTGTACAATTACCCCAGTGGGCATCAGCCTTGCCCCCCAGAAGAGTTGAGGGATCTGCTCTCTGCCATGGAACGGCAAAGCAAAACCTGAGAGGGCTCCGGTCCCCTTTGTGCCAGCCCTTGATGAGACTCAGGAGGCTGCCAGGTGACTGCGACAAAGATGGACTGGCTCTCGTCCCCCACCGCCCCCTTTTCACTGAAGAGGCCAAGAGGGGCTGAATCGAGTCTTTGCCACAGAGCAACAGACTTTCCAGTCCACAAACAAGCAGCAGCAAGGACATCTTGAAAAGCTTGGGAGGCGGAAAGCGGGGGTGGGTGGGTGGGTGGGTGGGTGGTTTCCCGCTCCCCCCCTCGAGACATCAGCTTCATGGTTGCAGGTCCGACCCCTGCTGGCACCTACGTAATGCTTACCTCTTCCACGTTGATGCTGGACTTTGCACTGGTTTCCAGAAATTTGATGCCATAGTCAATTGCTAACTGCAATATGAAGATTTCAACAAGCAATCAGTCAGATTCAGCAATTTCATAAATGGTGAGTTTGAATGCACGTTTTGACACCTGAAGCTCTTATGTTCTTTAGCTGGGGAACGAGGAAACCTATCTGCCAAAACACCCCTGAAGACAAATTCGGGCGGGGGGTGTTGTTGTTGTTGTCTGGTAGCCCTTTTCCAACGAAGTTTATGAAAAGCTCCTGCCTTTTCATCACATTTAGTAGTTGGAAAAGGTGGTGCCGAAACGCTCCTGATTTTTTGCCACTGTTCCCCCTCCCCCAGCCTGCCTCCCAAGAAAAAGGCAGCTCCGATATCAGAAATTCTGTTTTCACGAGATTTACCTTTTCTCCTTTTTCCTTCGAAACTTGCCTTTTCTCATTCATGTCAGATTTGTTGCCCAGGATCATCCTTTCCACATCCGAAGAAGCGTGCTGGGCGAAGGGAGGAGGAACCGAGTTAAGAAGAGCAGCCTTATGGTGCTTAAAACCCTGGGAGGGAGGGAGGGAGGGAGGGAGGGAGGGAGGGAGGGGGTCTGTCCAAAGAGCCCAGGGCCCACTTCCTGCCCCAGACTGTCTTCCTGGAGGCTGAGCTTTGCAAAGCCCACCCTTTTAAAGTCTGCTTTGCTCACAGACTGCACCGAGGGGTAAACAAAGCTTCAGCAATCGGAGGAGCAGAGGAAACCAGCGAGGCCCAGGCCCAAAACTGAGCAGGACTCCTGCCAACAGGAGAGGAAATCTGGAGGGCCGTGACTCAAGGAAAAAATATGGAACAATGGAAGCTCAAGCGCGGAGAAGCTGCAGGCACAAACTCCGAGTCCCCCTTTGTCCTTGTTTTAGCTTTGGGCCACAGAAGAGCTAGCTCTGCGATGGGAGTCCTCGGCTAGTCTCCCCTGAGGAAAAACAGTCCATCAGTTTCTTCCCCAGGCCCTTCTGCGTCCTCTCTACGTGGGACCCTGCGAATGCCCCCACGTGGCAGGTGGGTTTGCTGTCTCTTCCCCTTCCAGGCATACCTACCTCTTCTATGTTCCTGATCCAGTTTTTAATATTGTCAAAAGACTTTTCATTGGTGATATCATAAACCAGCATTATCCCCTGGGGGGAAAAGAAAGAGTGCAGCTATCATCATTCCGCAGTGGCCACAATTCGTCTTTCTGTGCCAATTAAAACAGGCCTCAACTATCCCTCCTGGGTCAACTGTGGGTATCTATGCTTTTTAAACGAGATGTTCATTGCAAATTAAAAAGCCTTCAGATGCAGCCATCGCCTCCTTTCCTTCTGTTGCAGATTCTTCATCAAAGATCTAGTTTGGCCTCTTGGGCTCAGTCTGAGACCCTGGCAAACCCCCTAGAAGGGCAGAAGCAGAATGCTTCCCCTCCTCTTGCCTGGTGCTCCTTCAGCTGCAGCTGGAAAGGCCCTGGGCACCCCAGCCTCCACAGAGTCTACCCTGCCCATCGGCACAGCCCATGGCTCAGGGTCTGACTTCCCCCCCCCAAATCCACCCGGCTCTCCAGAAATAAGAGAAGGCCAGGCTGCTCGAGAAGGAAGGCAGAAGAGCCTCTTTCCCCCTCCCAAATACGTTCAGGCCCACAGAACCCACCCACCCACTTTAATGGCCTCCTCTGAAGATCCCACTTCTGCGTCAACCATTTCTGGCTTTTTTTGCTGTGTGCGCATTGCTACTTCCCATATTTGGCCAGAGGGAAAGTCACCCAGCAACCTCAGTGAGGGGCCAAAGCACTTCGAGTGTGCCGCAGTCACAGATCGCTCACAGTTTCCGTCCTGCCAACTCTGCTGCTTGTGAAACCTCCACTTTGCTTAATGACGTCATCCTTACTGGCCTTTTTTTTTTTATAGGGGGTGGGGAGTAGAAGGCCTGAGAAAGGCAAGGCCCCAGACTCTGCTCCTCCTGAGAAAGCCCACAAGTGCTTGGCCTGCTGTGGAAAATGGGCTGCGGTGGGGTGAGCTTAGGTGAACCTGAGAACACACACTCACCATGGCCCCTCTGTAATAGGCTGTTGTGATGGTGCGGAATCTCTCCTGGCCTGCGGTGTCCCTGAAAACCAAGATACACTGTCAAAGCGAGGCGGGGAGGGGCAGAGGGGGAAATCAGTGCTTCATGCCTTTCCCAAACACCCATCACAACGTTGGACTTTCAGCTGGACCCTGGCACACAACTCTACCCACAGTCTGTTTGAGCAGAACTTGGAACCCAGCCTAGTTGCAGACTGAAGGCCGGCTCCACCTGAAGGTCTGACAAGCCAACAGCCTCTAGAATGCAGCTGGCAGGCCAACCCTTGGCTTCCACCCCAAGTAACCCCACACCCCACCCCCAGTGTTAGTCTCATGCACCTTCTCCTCGCTTCCTCTGATTTCCATTAAATGCTGGTTAAATCTCACCTTAAATCCAGATATCTTGGACAAAGTCCAAAACAGCCAAGAAGGCCAAACGATTGCCACACCCAAGGAGGCTTCATTATGCCAGCCCAGATACTCTGCCAGCGTTGCCCCAGCTCTTAAGCCTTCAAAGACACTTTTGCGTGGAGTTTCAGAAAGGAAGGCCTCGTTTCAGGAGCTCCTGCCTGTATCTGCAAGCCAGTTGCATTCTGATACACTTACCATATTTGCAGCTTGATTTTCTTCCCATCTAGTTCTATTGTTCTGATTTTAAAGTCAATTCCTAAAAAAATAAAAAGAAGGGCAGATACATTAGACATAAATTCTGTCTTGCTGCAACACTCTCCTGCATCCGAGAATTTAGAACAAACGAAGCACCTTCGGGATCAAAACCACTCAAATTCCCCCCCACCCACTTTTATTAAGTGAATTCTGGATGAACTGTTTCAAAACAAAAGTCACTATTTAAATTAATTGTAATCCCGGTTCCGCTGGGGCTATAAAGAACTCAAATTAAACCACAGTTCCACCTTGCCTAACATTCCTGCTTTTTTGCAAATGGGATTTTTTTCTTTTAAGCAGAGATGCAGCTGTACCCACAAAGACGTTGTTGTCCACTCGCAGGGATGAGAAATGTATACTTTTGTAGCTACAAAAGGAATTTTGGACGATTCCCCAGAGCTCAGCTGGTTTAAATATCTCCCTAGCCCAGTGAATTGATTCCAGCGTGGGGCCTGGTGGAGTTTTCTTTCTTCTTCTTCTTTCAGGGTGACAATGGAAAGTCTTACTAAAGCTTGCAGCTCTCTGCAAGGGGCTGTTGTGAGCCACCCACTGGCGCTTCCTCCCTTCAGCAACAGGAAGTGGTGCGCCGCTGCATCCATCAGCAGGAGAGGTCTGCTGACTGGCTGCCGCTTCCGGAGGAGCAGGTTGCAAGACACACGTTGGTTGGGGGAGAGAAACGAGCCCAACTTAGGGCAGAGCTGAAATTCGGAGCCTTTCAGCAGCTTGACTTTTCCTTCTGCAAGCAAATGCAGAATCACACAGAGAGGCGAAATTGGAGCATCTGCCTGAATGCCTTGTTGGGCCACTGGACAGATGTTGACCAATGCTGGCAGCTTGAAGACTGAAGGACTTCAACTCCCAGAATTCCCCAGTCATCATGGTTGGTTGGGGAACTCTGGGAGTTGAAGCCAAGGCTGAGAAACACTGCACTAAAAGGCGGCCTGATTTTAAGGGCAATGCAAACTTAAGACCTTGGCTAGTCACCTCTCCCAGGGCGATTCCAAATTCTGATGGCCTTGCAAAGGATCTGACGGACAGACACGAATCGGAATGAATATATGTGCAGAGAAAGGGCCACTCGTTTTTCTCTATGGCTTCTAAGCCTTTCAGAACAGCAGACTCTACGGAAACACAGCAGAGGTGCCCCCCCCCCCAGTTGGGGGTCCTCTCTCACGCATTCAAAACGTAAACTCTCCAGCTCGGACCCAGCAGCCAGAAGCCGGGCACGCCAGGTGCCAAGGAACAGGATCCCCACGTGCCCTGTGCAAAAAGGGCAGAATTAGGCCGAGAAAAGACACGGAAAGGAGGGGGGGAGGCTGGTGCTGATCCCACTGCCGAAGGGGCTCCAGCCCTGCTTGGAGGCTCCCCCGGAGAGCCTTCTGTGCTGGGCCTTGTGTCAGCCAACCCTGTTCTCAAGCAAGCAAGAGTGATGCTCTCCTAGAACAGAACGTCCATTCGCAATTAGGACAAAGTGAATGAGCTTTTCTGAGAATGGAGCTTGACCACGTAGACAAGAATATGAATTTTCTTAGCAATAAGACGGAGGTGGTTTCATCGCCTCCTTCCAAAATTGTTTAAACTTCCTGGCCAAGTCTACAGCTTTAGGGTTCCCAATGACCCTGCATCCAAAGGGCACAATGGCCTCTGCCCAGGGCTTGCCGCTATCGGCCGTGAGCATAACACAAAAGGGTTGGCCTGCCTTGAGCCTCCTCCCAACCTGCAGCCACCTGGGTGGGCTTCTCCCGGACCCCCTCACCACCACCTCTGGTTTGAGGGCTGCTTTTTGGAAAAGAGCTCAAGGTTAACGGGGGGGAGGGGGGCGAGGGGGGGAGCCAGGACTTTCCCCAGCACTGGAAAGGAACACTGCTCACCCGAACAGATTCCACACAGAGGAATTTGCAACAAGAACAAAGAGAGGCTTTGATAGAAGGAATGCAGGTCAAGGAAGAGCACGATTCTTCCCAAGCTGCCTTCACTCTTTCTCTCCCCTTGCAGCAGTTCCAGGCTTGGAAGGGAGTCCTTGTTCTGGCTGGATCTGAAAGTCCACTTTTCCCACTCACAGTTTTTTCCGCTTATGGCCTTGGTGGGCAATTATGGCAACTTTAAGACCTGTGGACTTCAACTCCCAGAATTCCTGAGCTAGCCATGCTGATTCAGAATTCTGGGAGTTGACCTCCACAGGTTATAGTCGCCATAGTTGACCATCTCTGGCTTAGGCCTTCACTGCAAACAATAGACTTTCAATTCCCAGTCTGCCCATCAACAAGCTGGTAAAAAAAAAAATACAGCTTTTTTTAAAGGCAATTTAACAGACTAGGACACAGCAAAGGTCCTGGAAGGGAAGTTTCATCCTTGCAGGATGCAGGATTTCGATCTGGCTGGCCTCTTCCGAAAACCACGCCAATCAACCGACAAAACGCCCAATGGGACTGTGGCTGATGTGACAGGAGAAGAGGAGCCTCCGTCTGTGGCTTTGTGACAAGAGGCAAGATTTTGTGAGGTGCAGCCGCCAACACACAGAATGGCGTGATCGGCATCTGACGAAGGATGACTTGCTGGATTCAATTACGTTTTGAAAAGCTTCAAATACGCTAAATGCCACAGAAAGGATGGTTTCATTGCCTTTCCAGATATTGTTTGTCATGCCCTGTTGTGCCTACCAGTTGTTGCATGCACACACAGGTCTTGGGGGGGCAAAAATACAGAGTAGCATAAATACACCAAGCCCAACCCTAGAAGACACCTTCCATTTCAATGCATCCGTGCCAAGGACCAGGTAGCCTCTTTCTTATCCAGGTAGCCTTGGAGTTACAACCTTAATTGAGCTGGGAATTACAGTCATAGGTCACTGCGGTCATTAATTGAGGTACCCATGTGACCAGAAGCAATTTTTGTGGCCTTTTTCATTAAGTGAACGTGGTGGTTTTTAAGCAAGCCAAGTCATCTGAATGGGCTTTTTTGTCAGAAACCGGCAAAAAACATCATGAGTGGGGGCTCACATGACCAGGGACCACTGCAACCAGTTGTAGATTTGCCCTTTTTGGAGTTTGCTGGGGGAGCAAAACTTTGACATTCCCAAATATAAAAAGGGCCTGGGTGATAGTAACTGGGCTTGTTATAGAGACCAACCCTAAGGGAACACCCAGTGCAGCACCCTAGAGGCTCCGACCAGATAGGTAGCCCAGCGCATGGAGTCTGAAACAGAGCATGCATCCCTGTTGCTATACATCGTGTGCTCCACACACGACCATCCGGCCTGCCACATTTCCACATTTCCTCTTATTCCACAGACACAAACATCACACGGAGGTTTATTCTGCTCTCCTGGGTAGTATGAGTTCATTAGCTCCCTGGCTCTGGGACCGTCTTCACGGCTTCAGGCAATTGGGTAACAACCTAGAGAAGGACCCTCGGCTGGGCTCTGTTTGTCCGAGTCTCATCCTGATCCAAAGTTGCAAATAATCTGTTTACTGGGCTCTCAACCACAAATTCCTGAACATGGAAGAATGGAAAATAAAGAACTCTTTAAACTTAGTAAAGCATAATTAATCCTGTTGCAGACAAAGGGTGGGAAAAATAGGCACAGATGTTCTATTCTTGTATCCTTACACTCCTATTAACCCCAGTAATTAATAACTCTGGTAGCCAATGCAGCTCCCAGAGAAGAGGTGTTGCTCCAGTGAGGTATTTTTGAACCATCTGTAGTTTCTAGGTAGCCATCAAAACCAGTCCAATGTATGAGCTGGGTTCAAGCAGTGCTGCTTTACTGTACAGACCCTCCCCTGTGGTCGAGGCACTCCAAAACCCGGCGTTTTCTTTAAACTGGACCACAGAAACTTTAGCCTGAAATGTACACTCCAGAGGGACCATCTTTGTGGAACAAAGACTCAGAATTTCACTTCTCAATTATGCCTTAACGGCCCAATTGCTAGCCACAGATGCACTAGCATGGCGAATCGGATCTCTTTTCTCGAGGGAAGCAGTGGGATCCTACTCAGAGCTTCGGATCTCTCTGCCCTTTAAGATGACATAGGCTGGCAAAGCCCTGGCATTGCATTGGATTATCTGGTGCCCTTTGTCCACCCTGATTTGTCAACCTAGACCAAAGGAGCAGAGAAGTAATCTGATGTTGCTTAATACGCAGGTGAAGTCATGGCATGTATTTCACACTATCCACATCAGCAGCACTGCAGACAAATTCCTAAAGATGGGCAAACATTCCCCGGACCCACATCCAGAAACGACACTTCCCCGGGAGCGCTGTCCAATTGAAGGAACCGACAGGTTCTCCATTGCCCTGCAAGACTCCTTTAGGAAGGATGCTTCAAACTATCAGCCCCGCAATCGTTGATGCCACTCTCCCAGTCCAGCAGAGACCTCTCAGCAGCTGGAAGATTGTTCAGAGAGAAAAGTAGGCATGCAAGTAACTTTCCATCAAGATGCCTCGGGATTCCACTCTGACTTCAGCAGGGTGGAATGCAGGCAGAGGAAGTTCGTAGGGCCGGCCGATTTCCCTGCTCAGAGAGAAGGAGTTTTCCCTTTAAGAGATGCAGCCGTTGTGCTTGGCATCTATGGAGCATTCTTCTCCCCTTTAGAGGGGGCTCCAGGTCAAATGCTAAAAGCAAGTCAGGCCCATCCTTTCTATCTGGAGGATCAGCAGCCCCCTCCCCCCCCACCTCCAGCCTTTGAGTCAGAATAAGATCAGTTGGTTCATCTGTTATCTCCCAAACAGCTCTCAAATCTCATTCAAGACAAACAATAGCAGGGCAAAAAAAAAAGGCAAACCCCATTCTTTATTTTAACAGGTAGACTGGAAAAAAAACTTCATGTTTTACTACTGGAGAACCTGAATATCCTAGTAAAATCAACACACTGAATTTTGCATGCCTATTGCAGCACAATTCTGGACATAAGACTCCACGGCTCTAAAGGAAAGTTCAAATGGATCTGCTTCAGACGGTAATCGTTCTGTGCTCTGGTCATTACCTAAATGTGGTTAAT